CCACATGTTTGCACGAGGGCCTTCAAATACTTATATCCTCAAGCCACATGACTCGGCAAAAATCCAGAAAAACCAGAGGGATTCAATATGAAAGGTGCGTTGTATGACGCATCTAGTACACGCCATGTGATAGGAGAGCAAAATTTAAAATTTGACCCATCTACCACTTTCTTTGACCAATTTAGTACATAGTACTTGACCCATTTAAGTGATTATGATAGTCTTTATGGAATTATTAGTTATTGTCATGGAATAAAAAAAAAATCAACAATAAACATATTTGTATTCACATTTAAAATTAAATCACAAACATAGAAAAGAAAAAAAAAACTTAAGCACCAATAGTAATAGGGGTGAACAGTGGTAGTCGGAGTGGGTGGCAGTAATGGTGATGGAAGATAGTAATGATTGTGGTGGTGGCGATGACTGCGGTGGTGATGGATTTTGGGTGATGATGGTGGTGGTAAGCGACGACGGCTGCTGCTTTTAGGCTACAGTGTAATGGACGTTGACGAATGACGGTGGTGATGGTGGTGGGGATGAGTGATAGTGGATGATGACAATAGTAGACGATGACGAGTGGTGATGGTGGTACGCATGGTGAAGGTAGGTGACAGTGGCCGGTGGTGATGGTGGACGACGACGGATAGTGGTGTGTTGTGGTAGTGGATGACGGTGGGTGGTTGTAGGTGTTGACTGTGGGTGACGGTGGTAGTGGGATGATGGTGGTAGTCGTAATAAATATAAGAATAAGATGACAATGATGATAAGTGGAGGCAATGGATGATGGTCATAGCAATTAATGGTAGGTGGCGATGGTGGTAGGGGTTGGCGACAATGATAGTGATGGTTATGGGGGTGGTAAGAGTGATGGTGGTGATAGAGTGCGGCAGCTGTGGTGGGAGTGGGGACGGTGGTGGTGGTGGTTTGGAGGCGACGGTAGTGCAGTGGGGCGATGGTGGTAACGATAAGGGTTGTTGTAACAGAGGTGGTGGTGAGGTGACGGTGACAATGGTGGTGCTTGTAGTGGTGGGGCAATAGGGGTGGTGATAGTGGTGATGGTGTTGGTAGGGTGATGGGTGTAGTAGGCTAGCGACGGTGATGGTGGTGGTTGTTGCGATAGTGATGGTGGTGTAATATTAATTATCAAATTAATTTTAAAATAAAATTTAAAGAGATTTTAATTACATAAAATAAAAATTATTTTATTTATTTTTTAAAATTTAAATTAAATTAAATTAATTATATTAATTAATTAATACTCTATATGCTATATTCAGAATCGTCCTTCTCCAGGTGTTTACTCATGTACTTGTAATCTAAATTAATGGGTTACAATAATATACACCATTGTATATTAAATGTATAGGTAACCATAACCAAACTGTTTGTACCTCGAAATCTAACACTAAAACCTAACCTCCAAGAACGTGTTAACAATCGGGCTTCACACATAACAACATGTTACTTAGATTTGCCAAACTTGTTTATTATTACAAGGATTGACCATTCAATGTCAAACAAAGAACACTATAAACCCTAAGTAATAAGCATCTCCAATGTATTACAACGTAGTTTTCTAATATTTATTATGACAAAACTCTGTATATTGAGTTTTTTTTTTTGGATATTTATTATTATTAATACAAGGAAAGACGGTTTTCGTATTCACTCTATGTAAATACCTACGATACCACTATTTTCTTTTTCTCTAATTTTCAAAACTCACTCTTTAATTGCATTTAACTGTTTATACTAGGGGTGTTAAAATATGACACGACTCGTTAATACGATACGCGAATCTAACACAAAGTTAGAGAGTTTGAATTTTTTTAAGCCATCTGTTTCTTAAACGAGTGAACCTGACAAAACACGATTAATAAACGAATCGAATATTATCGAAGTCAATAAAAAAATAAACGACATGACTTAATTATATACAGATTATACACGAACTTAATATGACATGACTCATTAGACAAGAATTAATAAGTGAATAGAATATGAATAAATTTTTTTAACACGAACTCGTTAAGACTTGACACGGTTTACGAGCCTAGTTCATAACCATTAAAAGTTCATCTCTCTTGGCCTCTTTTGGATCTCTTTTCTTTCTCTCTCCCTCTCCTCCTTCATATATCACCTCTTTACAATCACACATAGGAGTTATCATGAGCAGAAGTAATAAAAATCATGATAATATATGTCTATTATGTAAAATGAAAATGCTCAGATTTCCAGAAGGCACCGACCTCTTGCCCAATTGCCATCGGATCTGAACAAATTGTGAATTATTCAAATACCTGTCACACATCTACCTACCTACTCCCAAAGAATTACTCTCCTCCAAGTGTACGTGTCTGTGCTGCCTCTTGAAAGAACACAAAATATAATAGAAAAAAAAATAAATTAAAAAGAACATTGTCCTATGGAACACCATACAGGAGACGCATCCCCATAAGAGATGATGGATCTCCATTCCATACGCAGGTTCAATGTTATGTGCTTTTAAATTTATTTATTTATTTGAATGTTATCTAACTTAATTACTAGGAAATTTGGTAGGGAGTGAGTTAGTAGTATAGTTTTAATAAGTTAGTAGTCTGAGCTTCTGCCAAAGCTAAAGAAACCCTTGTAACACCCACATGCAAGCTCCTCCAACCATTGTCCCTAAATTGCTATAAATTCTCACCTCAGCATTGTCTATCATCATCATTCTCTCTCTCTCTAGTGGGGTATGGAGTACTACATGGATGAGAGATGGAGACTATCAAAGGAAGATCCAAGTACCCATTCTTGTAATTCTTCCAAGTCATCTTCTCTCGTGAGAAGCATATCCCAGAAGAGTTCAACCTCAAAATCTCCTCTTCTGAGGAGTTTTTCGCAGAAAACCACTTCTCTCAAGTCCCCTCTCTCCAGAAGTTCTTCGCAAAGGAGCGGTGCTTCCAAGTCTCCTCTATCAAGGAGTTCTTCACAGAAATGCGCTGATTTCACCCGAAAATGTAGCAGCTTGGCCAAAGAACAGAGGGCCAAATTCTACATCGTCAAACGATGCATCACAATGCTTGTTTGCTGGAACAAGCATGGAGACGCTTAGAAGCATTTCAACAATCGAGAAGTTTGCAATAATATGTTAGCAATTGAAATGAGCAAAAATAGTTTACACTTTACAATAATATGCTCAATTCGATCCTCTCCCACTCTTTAATTTATCTTCCTTCTACTTGCGAGATGGAAATGGGGTTCATCTGAAACCCATATAGGTTTTATGTCATCCCATTCAGAAGAGGAGATTACAGAAGTTTTTTATTACTTGTTTTCTTTTTGTGCATTGAGATTTAGATTGAAGAGGGTTCAAAGCTTGCACATTATCAGAAGACACATTTTTTTTTTTTTGGGGGGGGGGGGGGAATTATGATCCAATTAGGTCAAGTCTTGATTTAATCATTGAATCAAATCGAGTAAAAGGATAATAGAATCGATCAAAAAAACTTGAGATTGATTCTTACTTGTAAAACTAGATATCTGGGTGTTGATTGCGAACTGCAAGAGATTGCTTGGAGTCTCAAATAGTTTTCTGAGACATATTCTTCGGGAAAGAAATCAATGTGCCGATGCACTTGCTATTTTAGGGGTTCGACATTAGTCCTCCGGTGGAGATTACTATTGGGTTTAAGGCTGATTTGGCCAGCATTTCTTTTGTTAGAGAGCCTTTGTGGCTCTCCTTTTAATTTTCCATTGTACTAAAAAAAAAAAAACCTAGATATCAAGCAGATCTGCAGGCCTGGAAAATTATTACATAAATGGATTCATATTTGGATTGAGATAATCGATTAAAATCTATATAATAAAGTAGTTTATAATTCAAATTTTAAGAGATAAACAAAATAATTTTTGTTTTTCGTGGTTCAGATCCCTTTAAATTTTAATTTAAAGTTAATTTAACGGTTAATATTAACAATCTAAATTTAATAAGAAAAATAGGCACTTAAGTGTGTGTTTGAAGTGACTTTTAAAAAGGATTATTAAAAATTATTTCTCACAATACTTTAAAAAAAAAAGTGTTTGAAACCGCTCCACTACTATCTCTACCACCCCCACCCCCACCCACCAATGCCTCTACCACCACCACCGTCACCCCCCCCACCATCACCACCACCACCAACGCCGCTGCCGCTGCCAGTTGTTGTCACTATCGCCACTACCATTGCCACCACCACCACCACCACTATCACCGCCGCCACCAACACCACCGTCGCTGCCACTATGGTCATTGTTACCCACTACAATTATTACCATCTCCTACCACCACCACTGTCATCCACCACCTCTCACCCTCACTATAATCGATGTTTAAATTCATTTATCTCTTATATATATTGTCATTTAATTTTAGATATAAATACAAATATACCAATGGACCTTTGGTTCAATGGTACTCTTTGTCTTTTAAAGGTTTTGCATTCTTAAAGTCAATGGTTTAAGTTCCCTTCACTCTCCCCAAAAAAAATAAAAAATACAAACATGTTTATTGTTTACTATTTTTTATTACTCTGTACCTTCAGGCATAGACAATAATTAGTTTATATAATAAAGTACAATACAATTTAAATTTCAAGAGATAAATAAAATGAGTTTTGCTTCTTGTGGTTCAGATCGTTTTAAATTTTATTTTAAAGTTAATCTGATGTTTAATATTAACTTTCCAAATTTAATAGGGATAATAGGCTCCACCACGATCGTCGTCACTCACCACATCCATCACCGTTTCTCACCACCACCACTATCACTCACCATCACTATCACTACTCGCCACCACTACAACTGGTGTTTAAATTCTTTTTTCTCTCCTCCATTTTTGTAATTTGATTTTGCATATGAATATTAATATATTTTTGTTGACTATTTTTATTACTCTGTACTTTAAGACATGAGAAATAATTATTCTATATAATAAAGTAGTTTACAATTCAAATTTTAAAAGATAAACAAAAATGACTTTTGTTTTTTGCGGTTCAGATCGCTTTAAATTTTACTTTAAAGTTAATCTAACACCTAATATTAACACCCTAAATTTAATAGAAAAAATAGGGCTCTAACAGTGTGTTTGGAGTGACTTTTTAAAAATATTTTTAAGAATTATTTTTCATAAGTACTTTTTTAAAATATAATGTTTGAAACCACTCCACCATCACTTTTACCATCACCACCACCACCACCGCCGCAACTGTTGTCACCGTCGCACCCCACCAATGCCGCCATCACCATCACCGTCGTTACCACCATTGTCGTCGTCACCACCACCACCACCGTCGCTGTCGTCGCCACCACCACCACCACTGCCTCCGCTACTACCAACACAATCATTGCCACCTATCACAACCATCACTGTTTTATACCACCACCACTGCTGTCCATCACTTGTCACCCTCACTACAATCGATGCTTAAATTTATTTATCTCTCATTTATGTTTATGATTTAATTTTGGATATGAATACAAATATGTTTATTGTTTACTATTTTTTATTATTTTGTGCCTTCAGACACATATAATAACTAGTCTATATAATAAAGTACAATACAATTCAAATTTCAAAAGATAAACAAAATGACTTTTGCTTTTCGCGGTGAAAATCTCTTTAAATTTTATCTTAAAATTAATTCAATAGCTAATATTAACACCTCAAATTTAATAGGAAAAAACCCTTAAAGGGTGTTTTTGGATTGACATTTTAAAAGTGTTTCTAAAACTTATAACTTTTCATAAGTATTTTTTTTTTAAAAAAAATAGTATTTGCAACCAACCAACCACCACCACTACAACCCCCACCACTACAACCCCCACCCCCACCACCAACATCATCAACACTACCACCATTGCCCCAACCACCACCACTACCGTCGCCGCCACCACCCCACCACCCTACCATTGTCACCACCCCCTCACAGCCCCACCACCACCATTGACACCCCACCACTACCATCCCCATCATCACCACTGCCACCACCTTACCACCATCGTCATTGTCCCACCATTACCCCTACAGTTCCACCACTATCATCACCATTTGCCATCCAAGGTTGCTACCATCACAACCGGTCGTCATCACCCATCACTGCCATCATTGTCATCTACCACCACCACTGCCACCCACCACCATCATCACTCTTGCCCTCCACTATTACTGGTGCTTCAATTCATTTCTCTATCCTCTATCTTTGTAATTCGATTTTAGATGCGAATACAAATATGCTTATTATTGACTATTTTTTTATTAATCTGTGCCTTCAGGCACGAAAAAAAAACTAGTATATGTATATGTGACTACTAAATTCAGAGTTAAATCCAGATCGAATCCAAATCAATTCAACATTTAGGCCTAATGACAGATTGATCCGGGTTGGGTCACCCTCATCCTAATTAAACTGATCCTTATGCAATGCACTCATCGGACGGATCGGTCAAGGCCTCGTCCAAATCCGAATTTCTCTATTGTCGGGTCTCAACTATTACTACTAGATCAAGAGGGATGTACATAAACAAACATCACATCTGTATTATAAAATTGCTCGCATAAAGTACAACAATAACTTAAATCATATAGATTTGATGACTATACATATTAATATTTTAATCACCAACTTATATTTCATTTACGATAAAAAAAAAAAAAAAGGAGTGCTTTTGCATGGGTACCATAGTACATCCATATACTAAGAGATGGTCGATTAACCTGATTCAGTTCAATCACCCTCATTTCTAGTTGCATCAACACTTCTCTTAATGCTTTGCTAATTTCTTCATCTTGAGCTCTAATACAATGTAATGAAATTATTAATTAATCTAGGTTAAACATAGCAATAGCAAATTATGCAGAACTTCTAGTAAGTTATGTTGAATGATGGAATGTAGTTAATCGACCATGGAAATTAAGAAAGCAACATTCAAATGTTCAAATAGTAGAGAAGAAAGGTGAGAAATTGGGAACATTGCAAATCAAATGCTTTAATGCCAAAATTAATGCACTGCTTCTGTTCTGCGAGGGGTTTTTTTTTTTTTTGGGAGGGGGGGGGAGGAGGATTGATGGGCGTTAGTGTTCTAAAACATAAAGTTCAAAAAACCAATCTTTTTTTTAATGTTTCTGCCTATTGAGCAATGGGTTGGCATGCACTATGTTATTATTGTTGTACAAGCAATTATCATCAAGCATTTCCTCTCCATTTCTGGTTTCAACACAATATGTGGGATGGTCGTAGGCAAGAAGTATCTGAATGAGTCACCAGCAGAACAAGGGGTTGTGGATTCGGATGAGCTGCCAAGGACTTTTGATCAGTTGTTCTTGCTCACTGGTGCGTTAAACATTGGAGATTTGATTCCATGGATCAATTTCTTGGATCTCCAAGGCTTTGGGAAGAAGATGAAGACACTACGAAAGAAATTCGACAACTTACTGGATCACATAATAGACGATGCTCAAATGGGGCAGAATAAACAAAAAGATTCAAAAGTTAGAACAATGTTTGACGTATTAATGGAGCTCTTGGAGAACCCAAACCTTGAGTTTCACTTCACAAGGAAACACATCAAAGCAGTGCTACAGGTTTGGATATTAAGTCTAACCCCTTTCTAACATTGGCATTAAACTCACTCAATCAAAGACAATACAAAAAAAAAGACAATACAAGAGACCTTAAGAATAACAAAAGATCTGTTAGATAATTTTTTTTTTTCTTTTAATCTTATTTTGAGTTTATTTGACATTTACATATAACGTTCCTTAAGACCTAAGGCTAAGAGATAAACGACTTCAGAGTTTCGGACAGTTTTAAGAGGGCAATGGTACCACACTGGTGCTCAGTTTTGCCTTTCCTGTAGGGGATCATGATAAGTCTTTTTACTTACAATCCTCTGAACCAATTTCCGACATCAACCTCGCTAATTCTGCTAATGAAAATTCTCACAGGACATGATAGGTGGGATTGAAACTTCAACAGCAGTGGCAGAATGGGCAATGTCAGAGCTCTTGACACACCATCAATGCTTAGAGAAGGCGAGGCAAGAGTTAGAGATTGTAGTTGGGAAAGAGAGATGGGT